CCCCCAAAACCCCAAAACCCCATGGATATGAATTTTGAATGATATTGCTAATTAAATGATATGAAATAAATAAGAATAGCGCATTAAGCTTAATAATAAATTCATTAAACTTAAACATCATCTTAATGCAAAAGACGTCATAAAATTTGCAAATTATCTCATCCCATATAAACCCTTTAATTTCTCCAAATTTCACTAGCAAAATGCAACCTATTAATGATGGTAATTAAAAAAGATTAAATAAGGATTTTTAGTTTGGGCAAGCTTGAAAATGGACTAGTATTTGACTCCAAGAGGAATAGAACTCAGAAAGAAAGTTAGAAATTTTATGGAATCTATTGAGAATGAGGTAAAAAATTATGCTTATCACATTAATAAAATATAGCTGTATCAATATACTAACACAACTGAGTTTCCATTCCATTTGGTAATTTAATTTCAAAAAATAAATAATTCATAGGTTCCTAAAATTCAAGAACTTGGTGTGAACGGCTTCACCATAAAAGATCATGGTGGTCCAGGTTTGAATGAAATAGATACTTGGGCTATTGTATATGAAATGGCTAAAATTGATCTTTCTGTTTCTACTTTCCTAATGGTCCATAACAGTATCGGGATGCAAGTTGTTAATTATCTTGGAAACGAAGGACAAAGAGCTAGGATTCTTCCGGATTGCTTAAAACTTAAGAAAATAATGTGCTTTGGATTAACAGAGCCAGAGTATGGATCTGACGCTTCTAGCTTAAAAACAACTGCTAAGAAAGTAGAAGGAGGATACTTATTAAATGGATTGAAAAGATGGATTGGTAATGCTACTTTTGCTGACTATATTGTAATCTGGGCTAGAAATGAAGCTGAGGGAAACAAGATTTAAGCATTTATAGTCGAAAAGGGGTCCAAAGGCCTCACTACTTCAAAAATCTTGAATAAATATGCTCTAAGAATCACCCAAAAGTATAACTTTACTTGATTAATCCATTTAGTGCTGACATAACATTAGAAAATGTCTTTGTGCCAGATAATAATAGACTTGAACATGCCAAGGATTTCAACTCAGCTAATAGGATTCTCGAGCATTCAAGAGTTGGCGTGGCTTGGCTTGGTGCTGCCAGTGCTTGTGGAGCTTATGAAGCTGCACTAAAATATGTACTAAATAGGAAGCAATTCGGAAAATAAGTTGCCTCATTCTAGGCCACACAGCTTAAGCTATCTAAAATGCTAGGCTAATGTGAAATGATGGTCACCTTATGTATGAGAATCACTGAATTAGTTAATTAAAACAAAACAACTATTGGATAAATTGGAAGAGCCAAAGCTATATGCACCGCTTTGAGTAGAGAAGTGTGTGCTACAGCTAGAGAGCTCTGCGGAGGTAATGGTATCATAATTGATAACAGAGTTATGAAGAGCTTTATGGATATTGAAGCCATTTATACCTATGAGGGAACTTATGAAGTCAACATGCTAGTCTCTGGAAGAGAGATTACTGGAGGTATCCCTGCTTTCAAATGAAATATTTGAGCTATAACTAGTGATTTTCTTACTAGATATAGATATCTAGGCCTTGATATTAAATCTTTATTTCATAATCATTGGATGCATCAAACTAGATTTTTGATTTTTAACTGAATTGAAATTTCATTCGATTTTATACAAAGGGGTTTTGGGGTTTTGGGG